TGTGCGTGTGTGTGAGAGAGAGAATTGATGGAACGATTCGAAAGGTATACAAAGAAAAATCGACTGGTTCACTTTTTTTTTTTCTTTGATACTACTGTGAAACATTGCGTGGTAATAATTATCGAAAGAATGCTGCTGCCGTGAAATATTCCCAGTGATTTTCGTTTGAGAAACAATATTTTATATCGACTGAATAGAAAATGAAAAGAAGATTCTTCGACAGCAGCATTTTTCTGCGGGAGAGACTAAAAGGTAGGATTCGCGTGTACAGCTGTAAGAAAATTTGTGAATTTTCAAACGAAGAGGAAGAGAACTGCCGCGATGTTTTACAGTAGTATTCGCGGAGGGAACGCCGAAGAAAGAGGAGGAGAGATATTGGATTAATTACGGTTAGACGATACTCTGTACATTACGTAGGAGAGAAAATAGCGTAAACTGCGACCGGTGAATTTTCCGAGACGAAGATTTACGTCCAACAACCGAATGGGAAAGAGATCGAATTTTCACGTTTTTCTCGAATAACCAGGAATATTCACCGAACAACCGAGGATGTTTTAAAAGAAGAAAGAGAAGGAGAGCAATTTACATCAATTTTATTCCCATCCGTCTAAAAAACGAATCTTAAAATCTACCACGATACATGTAACGATTTTTCCTTAATAAAATACATTGGTTAAAAAAAAAAAAAAAGAAGAGAAAAGAACAATACCCCGTAATCCCATAGAGAAAGAAAAAAAGAAGAAAAACATTAAGCAGCACAGAACGTAAGAAAATCTCCGTCGGCTACGACGAAGATTGACGATTCACGCGAAACGAACGAAACGCGTCTTTCTTGGTCCTTGATCGACAGGCGAGGCAAGATCGTGAACATGGAAACTGGTATTTGTATTTATAATCGATTTTCAAAGTTTCTCTCGAGACCATTTCTTCTCGACATCCCTTGTAAAACAAATCCCCCCCCGTCATCGACATTAACTGTTTGTCCTTTTTAACAAATATAACAAAACCTACGTCTTACTACACGAGTTCGGCGATCTGGAAAGTCGCGGCAATTAATTCGACGCAGGATTCGGGGAATTTTTTCGATACGTCGAAACTACTGCTGCGACGTTCTATGCACGCAGAAGTGTTTCATGTTTCCTCTACCGAGTTCTGTTTAGTTACGAGAATTTTTCACACGATTTGTTTACTTATGTTCCGTTCAATTTTACAGATAGAAAGTAGCGGTCGTGAGAAAAGTGAAAGGTTAGGTTGTCAAACCGCGGTAAAAGTCAAATTTTTTTTAATTCAATAGCACGAACAGGTGGCGTGTTATTCCATAATAATAGCACGTCGACATCTCGAACGATATGCTTGAAACTGCTGTATCGAGGGATACAGTCGATATGGTAGAAAATACACGGAATTGCGTAGCGTACACGGATAAAACCGATGATATGTCACGATCAGCTGATCAGTTGGCGAGTCCTGCAACCGATTAAGTCCGTTGTTAAAAATATGAGGTTTTAGGCGGGTCTTTGGGGTTTACAAGTGGGAGATGCAGGAGAAATTGTGACGTCTTCGTTGCTAATCAGCCAATAGCATTAGAGTAAGGCTATCTTACTTTCACTTCCACAAAAAACGATACGCGACGATTTAGTCTGGTGCGAGCAGTCGGTAACGAATGAGCAGTTGATAATTGATCGAAGGGATAATTTCGGATACTCGATGAGTAAATTCAGTCATCTAGTCATTTTTTATAATTTTCATCCTATCTTTAGAGGAAAATAATAGCATTGGGGATTTCCCGATGAAAAGTAATATAAATTGGACTAACCTTAAGAGTAATCGCTTTTAAAAGCATCCTTGAAAATCCGGGAAATTGACGACTGATAGAACTACATTCTGATTTATGTCGTGTTTCAACTGAAAATTTTATCAATGAATTGGTAATGTTTTCATGAAGATAGGATGAAAAGTGGAGAAACTGAAATATTTTATATTGAATGTGATTCGTTGAAACGTCGTTGCTTGACGCCCTATGTCAATCTCGCTTGCTCTCGTTTTGTCTATTCTTTTCTTGTCGATGTCGGTCATAGTTCTCGATTGTTTTTAACCGGCAGAGTTTTCGTCACGTTCTGTGATTGCCACACAACACTTTTCCTGTTCTTTTATTATCGACAGCTGATTGGAAATCATTTGTCTAAACCATTTACCTACACCGCAATTTCCCCTCAAGCGGCAATAGTGTAGGACTGAAAAGCAGTGGGGGTGGTGTATCCGCCTATTTTCCGCTCATTTGGTGGGAGGATGACGTCGAAGCCTCATCTTTGCTTTACCGATCTGTAACTGTCAAGAGACACATCTTCGACGTGCTGCTCGCTGATATCGTCGGCGATATTTCTCACAGATGTGTACATAAGTAGTCCCATTACGCGATGGCATTTCTGGAGGTTAGTCTCATGTACTATTAAAAGGTTTTATACAATGCTTCTCACTTCTTGTATATAACCTCACTTTGAATGCTCTGACACGGTGAAACACGGTTTATTTTCCAGTGGAAGCGTTTCAATTTTTTCGACCTTAAGAAAGAAGTCGACGACGGAAAAGTCGCCCAGGCACTTGGTGTAAGTTACCCTTTGTTCAAATGATTCTCGGTTGTATAGGTTAAGGTATCGATGTGTTATGGTGTGTTCTGTTAATTAGGAAGCCCAAGTGACGGCAGCTACTAGCGGTAACGGGAATCTAGTGTTCGGGGATAACACGGGCAATGTGCATTTAGTAAACAGAAAGTACGACGTGACCACGTTCCGTGCTTACGAGATCACGTTAACGTTAGCACAGCAAGTTCAACATTCTACTTTCCTGTTTACCATTGGTGTTAGTACAGTAGTGAAATTATTGCAAGTTTATTTCAAAGATTTCTCTTATCTATGAGACATTTATTTATCTAGGAGGATGAGAAAGGTTGTAATCCTACTATAAAAGTGTGGAATTTAGCTAAATTGGACAAGCAGGGTAGTCCAACATGTGTTCGTATAAGTAGAGCCATACCTAGCTACAAAGCAGTTCCTGCAACTGCTCTGTGTGTGCATACTAATCTTACATTGATGGCTGTTGGTTTTGCAGATGGTTCTATTATGCTTTACAGGTAAATATAAATTAGGTAGGAATTGTATTCCCATTTTTTAAGAAGTTTTATAATGTAGAATCTTTGATTCTTAGAGGTGATTTAACAAGAGAAAGAAAGAACAAGATAAAGGTATTGAAAGATACCAATGATTCTATCACTGGTCTAGCAATAAGATCCACCAGCAAACAGAATCACCTATTTGTTGCTACACCAAACAGTGTTTTTCTGTACAATATTACTGTTAAGGATAAAGAATTTAAGTTCCCCTTGGATACTGATATGGGCTGTGAAAAAAACTGTAGCATTCTTGCAGACTCCATGCAAGATAACCATTTTATGATTGGTCGGAATGATGTAATAACATTAATAAAATTTCATTACAGAGCATTTAATAAATACTTGTTTGCTAATAAATTGGTGTTGTATTAGGCAATTTATTGTTATACACCAGATGGTAGAGGTCCTTGTTATGCGGTAAGGGGTCAGAAAATAATGTTAGAATGGTTCAGAAATTATTTAGTTATTATAGCTAAAGAGGCAGCTAATGATCCAAGAACAACAACCACCATTTCTGCAAAACCAAGGCAAGCTTTTACATATTTGTAATTAAACAAAATAATTACAGTGTACTCTTAAAGTGTATCTGTCTGCAGTACTATAGAACCAATACCTCCAGGAGTAGATAAACATATAATCACAGTTCTTGATATACAGAACAAGCTTACTGTTTTCTCTGCATCAACATTGTTTGTGCAAGCTGTTTTATCAGAATGGGGTGGATTTTTTATACTCAATGGTAACAGTAAACTATACCTCTTAGATGAGATAGATTTGCAAACGAAATTATTCTTACTCTTCAAAAAGAATTTGTACGATATATCTATAAGGTAGCTAATCAAATTTTTAATTAAAATTACAAGCAAAATTTCGACTGCCATTTAGTATTGTATTATTTTTAGAATAGCTAAAAATCAACAATACGATGCCGAGGGACTTGTCGATATATTTCGACAATACGGCGACCATTTGTACTCGAAAGGTGATCATAATGGAGCAATAGAGCAATATATTAAAACTATTGGGAAATTAGAACCATGGTACATAATTAGAAAATTTTTAGACTCACAACACATTGATAATCTAACAACTTATTTGGAAGCGTTACATAAAGCTGGACATGCAACGGAAGATCATACAACTTTGTTATTAAATTGTTATACCAAGCTCAATCATACCGATAAATTAAAAGAATTCATTATGGTAAACAATTAGTAACTTAGGTAGAATATTTATCGATCATTTGTATTACTCTTTCATGTTAAATAATAATTATAGACAAAAGATAGAGAGATCGATTTCGATGTTGAAATTGCGATAAAGGTTTGCCGCCTAGCGTCACCAGAAGACGCCTTGCTACTCGCGCAAAAACATGGTCGCCACGAATGGTATCTTCGTATTCAAATAGAAGACAAGCACGAGTATGAGAAAGCATTGGAATATATGGCAACTTTGGAGTTTGAAGAAGTATGTTCGCACAATCTTCAAATTCGGAACATTCTTTTAATTTTAAACAATTTTCCAGGCAGAATCTATCATGAAGAAATACGGTGATATTCTAATAAAAAATGTGCCAAATGAGTCGACACAATTTCTAAAAACTTTATGTACCAATTATAGACCTTCCAACAAACTACTTATAGATCAGGTAAAATTGAATGATCGATAGAAGAAAACAATATTATCTATTAATTTTAATCGTTTGTTTGATTCAGAAAACGATAGACGGGCTTATCGATAAAGCTAATCCAGAGGATTTTATTCACTTGTTTTTAAATAATTCAGAACATCTCGTAGAATTCTTAGAACATCTAGTGAATACAAATACCAAGTTAGTACGTCAATACAAATACTAAAAAAAAGAAATGTAATTTGTATTCTATAAGTTACACACTTTAACACACACACAGGTGGAGTACCCAGGTGTACAACACGTTGATAGAACATTATCTCCATGTTTGGTCAGCTTTGGACAGTGAAGCGAAAGCGGAATACGAACAGAGGATTATTCGACTATTGCAAAGTTCCGAGGCGTGTTACGACAAGGATCAGATATTAATCTTATGTTATCAACATAATTTCAGTCGCGGTCTGCTCTACCTTTACGAAAAAAGTGAATTGTACGTTGCAGTAGCTGATGCAATCAATATTACATTTTAAAATTTTGTTCCATCATTTATATCATTTTGCTAATAGGTACCAAGAAATATTGTGGTACCATTTACAAAATGGGAATAGCGAGCAAGTTTTAGCTACGTGCAAACGATTTGGCCATCAGGATCCGAATTTATGGGTCCAAGCTTTATGGAATGTCGCGAGAAACAAAGAAGCGCCTACTAAACTTCTCACTGACATATTAGCCAACATAGGTATATTTAAAATCGAATACAGTGCTTCTAATTATGTAGTATATTATATTACAAAGAGAAATTTATTCACAGCACAGGAAAGACTTTTATCGCCATTGATGGTAATTGATGCAATTTCTACTTCACTTTCCTGCACCTTGGGAGATGTGAGAACTTACTTGTACAATGTATTGCGAACAGAACATGAACAAACTCAAGCAGACATAGAATTAACTGAAAAGTATCGAGCAGACACGCAGAAAATGCGAGAACAGATAGAATCGATTAAAAATAGTACGATAATATTCCAAGGATCGCGTTGTAGTGCGTGTCAGGATCAATTAGAACTACCATCGGTACATTTTATGTGTCAACATTCGTATCACCAACGGTAAGCTTACATTCAACGTTACACTAAACATAGTGATATTTTATAAGGTATTTCAATGTGTCTATTACCGAAATAGATGTTTCCAAGACTTTTCGGAGAATGACAACGAGTGCCCAGCTTGTTTGCCAACTAACAAACAGTTTTTGGATATCATAAGAGCACAGGAACAAGCGAAAGATCTTGATGAAACATTTCACAGTTTGTTGGATCGAGCGGAAGATCCATTTTCATTGGTTGCTGATTACTTTGGCCGTGGTGTCTTTAAGAAGTTAACAGTGATCACTGATAAATCGTTGTCCTCGTCGTCGATGAAATTCGCGGAACCAAAATTGAATTATGGACCAGGGGCAGAAGCCAAACTTAGATTAGCAGAGGGAAAGAATACAACATTAGGTAGATAAAATTTTGCTCCGTTACAAGCGAAATTTATTACTCATTATTATAAGTCGTATATCTTATTTTAGTGAAACCAGAAACTCGTCGTCCTTATAATAATCTCCCTACTGCAGCAGATGATCGTCTGCGATCCTTTTCAAAACCAGATCAATCTTCATCATTGGAAGCAAATATTTCTGCTACAGGCAGCGGTATATCTAGCCCACGAGAAAACTTGAGAAAAACTTCACCGGTGCGTATAAGAGAGGCTCGTATTTTAAACAGTACAACGCCAAAATCGTCGCCGATCCAGAAATCTTTTGTCCCGCCAAAAACACCGACCGTGCCATCCAATCGAATTAAAATAGATGACTACAACGAATCGAAAAATCCATTTTTCAAAAAAGAAAGCGACGACAGTACTAACCCCTTTAAGAAAAATACTAATCCCTTTAACACAAGTACTAATCCCTTTGATGATGACGATTCTATTCCCTAAAAGGATAATAACGACAACAATTGCTATAACAAGAACTTGAACCCTTTTGGTAGACAAATGGCATTTATTGTATTCAGCTATTTCAATCACTAAACCTCATAAACAAATAGTAAGTGAATTACATATTATTAAATAACAAGAATCATAGAAACTTGTAAAGAAAGGCATCATAAACGTTATTGTCCCATATGAAATTGTAAATTCATTACATGAATCCAGCTTAACTTTCATCAGTGTAATCCTTGTAAAAGGATAAACCTTGTTATTTGACCTAATATTGTGAATTTTATATTATTACCTTGTACTATGAATTGTATATTATTTTTTCACTTTATATGTGCACCACACGTATTTTTGGTGCTTCGCGTAATTTGTAAAATAATACGATATATTCGGATCAAAAAATGAGACATATATATATGAAAAAATATGTCTATAAAATTAAACGTTTTCCAAATAGTACTTAATAAATAATAATGCATAAAAAATTTAAAATACGTACAGTTATGCATTATCTAAACGATACTTCCATTTACATATCTGATCACTTATTCTAAAGGGATTGGAAGTATCTACAATTTCTGGAGTTCGTGGTTTTGTGGAAACAGCAGTACAGTACTCTTCCGTAGGTGCAGGTGTAAAAAAGTCCGAGAGTACTGGTACAATATCCTTTTGCCGCGGCTCCGGATCCTTGCTACGTGTTAATCTGTTTGGTAATTGATTTTCATCTATGGACAGGTCCACTAAATTTTTGTAAATAGCTTCATCAAGGGGGAAATCTAAAGCAGTAGAAACCTAGAACAAAAAACATAAGAGGCTCCTGGTATTTTGATATACTTATAAGTTATCTTTCTTTTTACTACCTTTCCACTTATAACATTTTTATATGCAGCTGGTAGATGTTCAACGTCAGTTACAACTTTCTGCTTCTTGATTTCATTCAATTTATTAATTGTACACATAATTGAATTGTATTCTGGCCTTCCTAATATTTCTCCAGAGACAATTGATTTAACATGAGTGCTTTCATCAGTTTTTAAAATTTTTAAATCGTCTAATTTTGTATGTGATACTCCTGGACCAATGCAAGGCTTTATCTTAGAACCAATTATATCTCTTATCATAGTCTTTTTAACAGGTGAACTCTTAATTTTGACTGTAACTTTATGTTTATAACATGGCATAATACCAACAGCAGATTTAGAATTTACATTTTTTTTAGTTGTACCTGAAATAGATGTTTTATTTGCAACAATTGGCTTTTTTGTACTAGTACCAGCAGAACAAATTCTAGCTTTATGTTTTAAAATGTCTGCATCTGAACATTTTATAGTTGCAGTTTTAATCCCTTTTTTAACAATTACTGCATCATTTTCTTTCCCTTTTTTACTTTTTGTAGAATCCCTCTTTAAGGGATTAGTTGTAACATAATTTTTTGGCTTTAGAATTTTGTGTACATTTTCACTTTGCTTAATAGAAGAAGCTGTAGGAACTGTTATATCATCATTTATAGACTTAGCAGAAGTTTGAGGTGTATCAATTTCTTTGACATTCTTTTTAATATTCTGAATATTATTAGCATCATTCAAAGGTATATGATTCTCTGTTTTCACAGAGTTTTTATTTAAAGAAGATGAAGATTGAATTGTACAAGTTGGGAGTGTATTAGCACATAATGTTGATGAATTCGCATTTTGTGTATTATCAATAACTTTCGAATCTTTGTCTTCACAATTTGCACGTGTTCCCTTTAAGTTTACTAATCTAACAGGTTTAACTAGTGCTACGATACTTGTAATTCTTGGTGTACTCGATTGTTTGACATTTTTCTGATCGTTCGAATTTTTTAATCCCCCCGTTACCAGTTCTTCAGCATCAGTTTGGGAAAATCTAACTTTCGGTCTCGCAACAAATTTCTTATTCTCAGACATTGTGCAAAAATATAAAAATTTAAGAAACTTGGTTCATGGGAATTTCTATTTCAAAGTTGGATAATAAAGCGATCATCCAAATTGCCACAACATAACCTTCAACGACCGAATGTTTCCAACACTGCCAAATGATTGTCAACATCACCAATCTGGTAATAAAACCATAACGTTTTTCCTTTGGGACTACCCGATTTCAAATGTTTCACGATATTCATTTGTATATACAGGTTAGTCGGTGAAAAGCCAACGCACTTACCGTGCTCATTGTTGAAACTGTAATTTGTTTGACAATTAGCTTAAGACGGTTGCAAATGTTTAGTTACGATTAATAATATTTATAATGGAAAATGTATCACATGAGAATATGGAGTCTTTCGAGGTAATGTATTCCGGATTATTTCATATTTTTAGTTGTGAAATTATTGCTGGTATGGAAGGTTAGAACATTCTAAATTATTATAACCTTTTTTAACTATTTATAAAACCATTTACGTTTTGTAACAGAATCCTGATTTGCTGCCACTTGAAAATCTAAAACTAAAAATTAAAACGGACGGCGTTGTTAAAATTGTCGATGCTTTGGTATGTATATGAATAACAATATGTTTTTAAATATATCAGTTAATCCTTGTAGATTTTAAAACAAATTACTTTTATATTAATTTTTTTAGAGTAAAACGTGGGCAAGTGATCGTTATTTTTTACATTATGAAGCTCCTTCATTATATACTGATGATGGTAATGAAATTGTGGGAGCAAAAGAACATTGGATGGCAGTTGTCAATTATATGATTAATGACTTTAGATGGTTACTTAGTCTTCCATTTTATAGGTAAGCACAATTTATAGTGTTAACATCATTAGAAATATATATTGATTCTTATATGAGAGCATAGAAAGTTATCCATTTGTAATAATAAAAATATCAGAAGCTGTACATACATTCATTGTATGTTCTTTTATATATTATGTATCTTTATTATTGCATATTCTTTATTCAGATTCTGGTCGAACATTATATTCAATGCCTCGATACTAGATGCATTGGTATCCTTTCTACAAGAAGCACCACCATTTTATGCTTTAGAAAATTTTGCAACCTGTCCAGAAATGCTGAAACTTCTAGACACACTAAGTCACTATGTACTTGTGGTTTTTACACGACTTATTACAAACAAGGAAAGTCCCGAAGAATTTATGAGCCAACCATTTTTTGGAAATTTATTATATGAGAACTACATATTCACAGTACCAATTATCTTTGATCTCTGTCAACTTTATGGCAGAGAAAATGAGAAAATAATGAAGAAAATTTTAAATTGTTTATTTACATTAGAACCACAGTATAATAATGATCTTGAAAAAGCTGTTCCTTGTATGATAGAGGTGATGTATAAATTTATGCAAAATGATCAATATCTTATTAGAATAGAATTAAATATAAGCTCTTAAAATAAGCTCTAAATTTAGGCTCTTGAAAATGTTGAAAGAAGGTTTGATAATTGCCCCACTCGATATTCTAATGAAGCAGTTTCACTGTCAGAACGTGATACTGGCACTATCAAACTTACATTATTCAATTTGGAAGACATGATACTATATGTACTAGATATATCATCAACAATTACTGTATTCTTAAAAAATTATTCTTCTGCTGTGAATATGTTTCATAGAGAGGATTTTATGAGCAAGTAAGTAATTAAACTTGGGCGCTTTTTCGTTTTAATTGCCTTTAATAAGTTATTTTATTGTTTTTATTTTTATTAGAATTGTTTTAATATACGAGAGCACAATACCTGAGATGTATAAAACATTAGATAAGTTAGCATACAATGATACAAACATGCCGAAATATATGGAACTGAAGCATCGCTTGGATGTAACTAGAATCGAGATTTTAAATTTGTTTCGTATTATCCTATACGAACCAATATTGAACATTCAAGAAAATTTGTAAGTTTACAAGTATTTTAATTAGTAAATCTATCATGTGTTATAACCAAAGTATATAACATATGAATATAATTATAACGTTATTGCTAGAAGTACGATAAAGGAAGCGGAGATAAAGGAGCGGGTGGATGAATATTTTAATTTATTAACCATTGCAATTGCTGAAAAAGAATTCATTACAGATTATGATCAATTTTATCCTGTTGAAACAGACATGAGGGTATTGCTGAATATTTGTCCTGAAATGTATCCTTTCTTCACCATGACGCTGTTATATTTATTATCATTAAAAACTTAATATATCAACGGTATTTTTATACTTAACAAATATATAGTGATATGATAAAATGCAATTACATATTACAATCAATGGGTGCAAATATTGGCAAACCTAGTGCTTCATCTGCTAGTTTTTCTGATGACGTGAACGTAAGTAAAGTAATTCTGCATTTTGATGTAATTTTTGTAGAACATTTTTTTTCCATAGGAACCTGTGGCTGGACCTAGCGGTATTTCGAGTCGAACAACATTCGAAGATACAAATTCGTCAGAAACGAAAGGAACATCTACAATGAAGAATTCTGTCGATAGCGTTAGCATAATTTCCGATATGTTATGTATTCAAGATAAACATTTTATTGAGGTAACTATTTCTGTATAAAAAAGTTAATGTTTGTTTAACCATATTGACAAAATTTCTCATTTATAGATGTGTTTGGAGTATTATAATAACAATAGTACGGCTGTGATTGATGCCATAATAGGAGACACATTGCCGCCTAAATTGAAAAAATTAAAAGACTTAGGATCTTCGGAAATGTCTAGTACACCACCAGCTTACGCAGTACGTACAGTATTACTATTCTTTCTCTCGTGAATATGTGTTAGGCACTGTAATCGCGAATTTTTGCCATTCTTCTAGGAGACTTCAGTAAATCAGAATTTAACTGGTAGTATTAGAAGACTAAACATACTTGATAATGACGGCGATGTTCACGTTAAACCTCGCGAAGTCATCGAAGTACCTAAAGATTACATTATTCAAAAGTAAGTATGTAACAAGAATGATCATTCGTAGACGTAACGCATAAAAAAAATATTTTATTATAAATAACAGCCATGTTTGATAATATTTATAAAATCATACTATTTTAGAGTATCTAATAATACTACTACAACATATAACATAATTAAAATAAAACTTTTTATAGTTACAGCCTTGTGGATGTTTACGAAGATGAGTATGACGATACGTACGAGGATGAATGTGACGATACGTTACACGATCGCGGCGTACGCTATAATACAGAGGATCTTCCGAGTGCGTTTGATCCAGAACGTTCTACTATACCAAGAGTTCGTATTCATGTAAAATACATTTTGAAAATTTTAACGTTCTTCAGTACATAAAAATTAACAAATGATAATTTCAGTTTTATTACGGAAGGAAAGCTGACTCGGAGTCAGAGGACGAAAATGTAGGGGACGAAAATACAGAGTCCGAACAGAATAAAAAAGATCATTTTGTAGAAAATCCAGCAGATGTGCGTGCTAGAGCTGAACAACGAAGGCAAGCAATGCGAGGCCGTAAAGGTGGTGCACCACCAAATGTGATAGGTACATTTGTCAGTTTGTATAAAAAACATTCGATATAATATAATGATTAAAGTTGAAAGTGACATCAGCAATGCACCATTGAAATAATTTTTCTTTTTACGTACAGGAAAACAAAAGGGTCGAGGGCAAGATAAAAGTGTTTTGCAAAGTAGGCAGCAGAAAAACACGGACAAAGCGAAACGAGCTAATCACAATCGTCGTTCCGGTTCACAGTGGAAACGAAATCAGGGAATGATTCCATCTTAAGTGTACCTATACTTTTACAATATCAATGTAAATACTGCCATCGGATAAATACATTCTTACATATGTTAACTCCATAGAATTCGGTTCCTTCGATGTTTAAATTGTTATAACTGTCGAAATATTTGGCTCAGAAATTTTTGTGACTGTTAGTGATCTTTGACAATAGTGAGAGCTTTTATTCTGTTCATTTGATCAGCCACTTCCTGTTGGTATTCATTTTCTGGTACCATCGTACTGGACGGCGATCCAGAAGCATTCGAATCTCGTAACAACTGTCTAAATAAGTGCATCGCACTACCGTAGTATTCTAATTGTATCATGATCAATGCGTGTATGCTAGGCTTAATGTATTCCAATCTCTTGTCGAAAAACATGGGTAGATCAGCAAGTAATTGAGCATGAACTGTCTTCAAATCTTTAGCGGCCGCTTCTTCTGTCCTGCGTTCTCTTTCTAACTTCGCGATATGACTAGCAGTCCTGTCTTTTTTCTCTTGCAATTTTTTAACACTTTTATGACAGCTTTTCCAAGTTGTCACCAAGTCTTCACGTTTTATTATTGCTTCAGCTATCAGAGTAAATATATCTCGCAATTTTTTTAAAGGTTCTATGAATGTTTTCTGATAAAGAGCAGTCATGTTTTGCATTGTTTCCACGACCTGTTACACACAGAAAAATTTGTATTACACCTTTTTATATTGTATGAAAATAATTTACCAACTCACACCTGTACTGTAACTGAATGATAGTCCTCCACCACAGTTCTGAATTCATCACTGATATGTACCAAACCACAAGTTGTAAGATTAGTTGTCAATTTTTTATCTGCTTTGGCCAGGTTCACTACAGCTTCTATATATTTTTTCATTTCCTTTGTTAATTTTCTGATAGTATCCTCAACACTTAAAAAGTAATTGACAAATTTTTTAGTATGGACCTTACCTTATCATGCATTTAAATAACAAGTAATTGGTATGCACAATACATACTAAATGAGTCCTTGAACAGCCTCATCTAATACTCTGTCTTCTGTGTGAGATAACAGAGGCTGTGCTGGTGTTGGTTTTTGTATTAAATGATTTTTTTTTAAAGGATTCCTGTACATATTGCCATATTATTCGGAAGTACGTCGCGTTAACCTCTCAGATCAATACATAATTATTATCAAAGTGATTTACTTACCACGCCATGTTATCACCGTAATTTAAAGACTGTCTCACTGCTTGAAATTTTTACGCGTAAGTAAATTATTACGACTATTATTTAAGAAAACATTACAGTGAGGTACACTACATTTCGAAATTTGTATCACTACTATCTCGAATCGTATAGATAAGACTGAAGATAAGACCATTTACATGATTTCATTGTAATATATTCGATGTACTAATTCCTCTAATAAATATTTAAGTATGCCATATGTACTTTCAAGAAAGTTTCATTGCATGTTAACCTGAAGAGTTTAAATTCGACGTAATACTTTCCTAACCTCCATTCACTTCGATTATAATATCAGTTATATTTTTAAACAAAATGCAATTATAATATACAGCTGTGAAATGCACAATATGTTTATAGTCAATTTCATGTTTTACTTTTCTTTTAAATAGGTATTCAGTAACAATAAAAATGCATTTTTTTATACTAGAACGTTTATTCGATTTTTTTTATTCAAAGATATTTTACAATTAAAATACTATAAGTATAATAAATTTCAGTACTGCTTAAATTATTTTAAACCTATACTTCAAATATACAAAATTAATTAATGCTTAATGGTCTATTATAATTAATTCATCTATGCCCCAATCTTCATAGCTGTTATCAGGTAAGTAACGCCGAATTATGATTGGAATTTTTCTCTGTTTTAATTCTTTCATTGCAATTTGCAGTGGATCTGTTTCTCCCTCCAATTCCACCATCACTGGAGCACACATAGCTATTTGTAACGCTCTGGTCCCTAATACTCTTGCTCTTTCATACCTATAAATGTATAATTAAAATAACAAATTCTCCTCGTTCGAAGATTAGTAATTATTGACAATAATTTTTGCACCAGAGTCCTACTTTGTCATATATCTTGTTGTAATTCTTTTAGATCTTTGTACTCCCCCGGTAGCTTCACCAGCTGCTAACAATTCTATATTTTCTCCATCTTCTTCCTGAGGTTCCAGTTCAATATTATCATCATCGTCAACATCGTCAAAATCATCTGCTACCCTTTAAACAATGAAATTCAGCGATGTTATACGCTTTTAACGTCTACACAGATAACTCCTTAAATATTACGATTAGTTTAATAAATTACTTACTCGTCTCCATCGAAATCATCATCTGCCATTTTTTGTAATTAAGCAGATACTATTGGTGCAATTTTATTTTTAACTCTTAATACAAATACTTGTTTCGCAACGTGCCGCGAGCAACAATCAACATGCGACATATCACGCAACGAGTACCCAACAAATGATTCGACGCTGCCATCATTTTCATCCTAAAATTCCTAGGATAGAGTGAGGAGGTAAGTTGTTCGTGATTTCGAAAATATTGTAACAAAGAAATGTTCGATTATTACAATGTATCCACATTAAATAAAGTTAAATTATATCATATTTTAATACATTATATTACATTATATTCTATCATATCGTATTAAAAATTATGCGAAGAATTTATAAGTTTTAGTTATACATTAGACGTAATAGTTAGCAGAATTATTTCCATAAATGGTTTGTATGTAGTAAAAATTACGTTGGCAGCCAAGCATAGTAGTGGACGAATGAGTAAGAGAAGGAAAGAAATGGAGGTGAGACAAGGACAGAAAAACGGCGGGTGAAAGTAGCGCCATCTCGCGGTTGGTGACGCGAATTACGATTTTTCAATAGGAAAACATAATATAAACAGAGGTATTAGACAAGGAACGCACTAGTGTGCGACAAGGATAGAGAGAGAACGTTTCCTATTGGCTAGCGGGCCGGTAGACTCGTTCTTCCAGGGCCTCAATCAAGTCGGTCGGTGAAAAGTCATTAATAACTCATTAATTACGATGATTCTGTGAACTTTTAGAATTGAAGAATGAAGAGGGGACCTTCAGCAACTTTCACATATACTTTTTAGTTCTCTAGACCCTCCCAATAATTAGTTATTAATAATTTTAGTATGTGATGTCGGGAACGATACCGCATACCGTCAAGTATCTTTCCGGTTTTTCAATAATTTCATAGCTTTCTACTAAATTCCCATGCAAATAACTATATGCGTTTGAAAGGCAGGTCCTTTAGCTACATTCTTTTCTAATTTTTATTAACATATCCAGTTTAGTTTAGAAGTTATTAAGCATTATGTCAGAGTGTTCCACATACATCGTACGTGAGTATAGTTAACTGTCATAAACAATTGCTAATATCTAATAAACCACACGACTTAGAGTTACAAAACTAATTGAAGAATATAGACAAAGTTCCATTCTACATTCTTCATGTCTTAAAGTGCATAATCAGTTACGCATATCGACAGAAATAACGAAAATATGTTACCCTTGAATACGACGCCTGTAATACTCAACCAAAGAATATTTAATAACTCCTAAACTAAACCGAATATGTTAATAAAAATTATAAAAGAATGTAGCTAAAGGAGTTGCCTTTCAGGTGCATCTAGTTATTTGCATGAGAATTTAGTAGAAAGCTATGAAATTATTGAAAAACCGGCAAAATACTTGACGGTACGCGGTACCGTTCCCGACATCACGTACTAAAAATATTAATAACTAATTATTGAGAGGGTCTAGAGAACTAAAAAGTATATGTGAAAGTTGCTGAAGGTCCCCTCTTCATTCTTCAATTCTAAAAGTTCACAGAATCATCGTAATTAATGAGTTATTAATGACTTTTCACCGACCGACTTGATTTAGACCGTGATTGGTGGAGCTTCGGGCCCGTCAACCAATAGGAACCGTTCTCTCTCTGTCCTTGTTGCACACTAGTGCGTTCCTTGTCTAATACCTCTGTTTGCATTCTGTTATCCTATTGAAAAGTCGTAGTTCGTGTCTCCTAACGCGAGATGGCGGTAGCCTCGCCCCGCCACTTTTTCTGTCCTTGTCTAACCCCATACCTTTCCTTGTCTAACTCATTACTCTAATGCTATCCTTGTCTACCGCTGTTCCTTTCCTTGTCTAACTCATTACTCTAATACTATCCTTGTCTAACGCTATTCCTTTCCTTGTCTAACACACAGTACTGTTACTATTTTTATCTATCCCTATTCCTTTCCTTGTTTTACTCATGTAACATTGAGAGAATCGTCCGAAATGAAATATTATCAGGTTGGTTGATTTTTAACATAGAAATTCTTCGTATTATTCGCTTTTAATAATAGTTATTGTAAATTAGAGCATAAATTCATGTATAATATTTAGTAAGCAGTTTGAACTTGATACATATGGTAAAATTTTTAATGCTTGAATATTACCAATGTGTAGATAATAAACTAAAGTTTCTGGCTTACTTTCAGATACTTTAATTATAGAATAATTAATGTTTCCTGTTAAATAACAATTTACAAGGTTGTCCATAATTGTTGTTAGTCTTAGATAAAATTATTGTATGCTTTAATTTCATGAAACAGCTTCATATACTTCTATTTCATTGAATTAACCGTTGTATTCGGTAGATTAGGCAGAAATTGTTTATAATTTTTGTTAAAAATTGAAAAATTAATGTTCTTTGCGTATGAATTACAGATGGACCTTCCAGGACACCTCAGAAATCACAGAAAAGACTTGAACATCGGGGAAACTGAAGAAATGCAATTATATATGAATAAATCAATTATTTATTGTAAAATTATTGTTTAAAATGTATATTACAAAAGGTTACAATATACCAGTATTGTTTTACAGCATTTTACAGTCTATTTACTTCTCTCTTACACACCAAATCCCTTTCCTTTAGTAAAAAACCCATTGTTTAAACAATATTGCATTGCAAAATTGAATAAATCAATACCAGACGCTCCCAGGAATGCGTTTTCGTCGAAAAAATCGAAAAAATCCGGAAATTCTAGCGAAAACTGCGAAAATTAGAGAAAGTTTTCGAAAATCGCGCGAATATACTCGTTCGGTGCTAAGGTCCTCGAGAATTCCTGGAATTTACGTCATTTCTCGGAAATGACGAAATTTCCAAGAATTGACCAATGGGCCTTCGAAAATTTCGGTTCTCGAGAATTCCTGGAATTTGGTCACTTCCGAGAATCGAGTCACTTCCAGGAATCGACCTCCTGTCACATCATGTTCGCCTATTAGAAAGTCGACTTTTGGCCAAAGGGTTTTCGAAAATTTCAGTTCTGGAGAATTCCTGGAATTTTCCTTATTTCTCGGAAATGACGAAATTTCCAAGAATTGACCAATGGGCCTTCGAAAATTTCGGTTCTCGAGAATTCCTGGAATTTGGTCACTTCCGAGAATCGAGTCACTTCCAGGAATCGACCTCCTGTCGTATCATGTTCGCCTATTAGAAAGTCGACTTTTGGCCAAAGGGTCTTCGAAAATTTCAGTTCTGGAGAATTCCTGGAATTTACGTCATTTCTCGGAAATGACGAAATTTCCAAGAATTGACCAATGGGCCTTCGAAAATTTCGGTTCTCGAGAATTCCTGGAATTTACGTCATTTCTCGGAAATGACGAAATTTCCAAGAATCGAGGCGATTCCAAGAAGCGACCTCCTGTCACATCATATTCGCCTAGTACAAAGTCGCGATTTCCGATTTTCGAAAATTTTTCGCCGAAAATCGACTTTCTAATAGGCGAACATGATGTGACAGGAGGTCGATTCCTGGAAGTGACTCGATTCTCGGAAATGACCAAATTCCAGGAATTCTCGAGAACCGAAATTTTCGAAGGTTCATTGGTCAATTCCTGGAATCGCCTCGATTCTTGGAAATTTCGTCATTTCCGAGAAATGACGTAAATTCCAGGAATTCTCGAGGACTTTAGCACCGAACGAGTATATTCGCGCGATTTTCGAAAACTTTCTCTAATTTTCGCAGTTTTCGCTAGAATTTCCGGATTTTTTCGATTTTTTCGATGAAAACGCATTCCTAGGGGTGTCTGGCATTGATTTATTCAATTTTGCAACGGGAAATTGTTTAAACAATGGGTTTTTTGCAAAAGGAAATGCATTTGGAGTGCAAGGGAGCAATAAATAGACTGTAAAATGCTGTAAAACAATACCGGTATATTGTAACATCTTGTAAAATACATTTTAACAATAATTTAACAACAAATAATTGGTTTTTTCATAAACAATGGGTTTTTTGCGAAGGAAATGAATTTGGGGCGCAAGGGAGTAGTAAATAGACTGTAAAATGTTGTAAAACAATACTGGTATATTGTAACCTTTTGTAAAATACATTTTGTACAATAATTTTACTATAAATAATCGATTTATTAACAAATAATTGCATTTCTTCAGTTTTCCTGATGTTTAAGTCCTTTCCTTGATTTCTAGGGTGTCCCGGAACGTCCATCTGTAATTCATACGAAAAGAACATTTATTTTTCTAATTTTTAACAAAAGTTATAAACAATTTCTGCCTAATCTACCGAATACAACGGTTAATTCAATGAAATAGTAGTATACGAAGTAAGGGTTACAATATACCTTCTCGAGCGTTCCAAACTTCTGGAAATAGCTAGTAGTACCGGTCAATCGCCATACCACAATTCTTTAAGTCCCGAAGAATCCCGAAATTCGAAGATGCACGACGTAGAGACAGAGGATCCTTGAATCGCTTCTTGAACACATTCAAATCGTGCTGTGGAAAAATCCTGAATCAATAGGAACGTAGCCTTCGAATGCAGTGGTTAGACAAAGAGGGCAAAAAAATACCTGTGCCTTATCCTTCCCATAAGTCAGTCAACGACAGAGAAAAGCATCGATGACGTCAATGCTTTTTTTTAATTACAGGCTCCGCGACAGGATAACAGAACACGAACGAAAAAAACTCCCTAGCGTGCGAGAAAGACAGAGAGCAAACGTTTCCTATTGGCCTAGGGATAACTAAGCTCCGCCTCCCAGGCGGTGAATCACGCGGACCAAGGAAAAATCGTTAATAACTCGTTATCTACGGGGTATTGGCAAACTTTTAGTATCGAATAATAAAGTCTGAACCTTGAGCAACTTTTTCATACAGGTTTCGAGTGAATTTTCTCGTACGTTAATTAGATATCGAGAAATTATGCGCGGTGTGTCTGGAACGGTGCTACGCTTCTTTACGGTTTCGAGTGAATTTTCTAGCTTTAAACAAGCAGCTTAGACACTTTAATGCACGCATCGGAAAGCATGTTTCTTCAGCTACTCTCTAGCCTAAGTTTTACTAACATCGCGACTGTAGTTCACGCGTTATCCAACATTCTTCGAAAAGATTCTCCGCTCGTGTGCGAATACACG